TATAAGAGAATAGAGTTCAGAACCAAAATCAGTAAAACAATTTTCTAATTTAATGTTATTGTTATTACAGGGATATTATAATACTAAAGCGAGTTCTATAATTCTATCACTGGACAAATAGAAATAGCAAAAAATGCATTCTTGAGTAGATAATGATGTAGTTCCCACAAAATAAGGAACTTGAACCGAGGAACAACTGATGACCATATAACCCACTTGCTCAAAAGCTAGTTCTCTGCATCACTATGGTTATTATAAAGACATGAAACATAAAAGAGCAATAAATTCAAGAATAAAGAGTGGCATCAGAACTTACATTTTGCATATAAGCAGTTCATCATTCCGGTCTCCAAATCCAACTACAAAAGATTTTAATATTATAAAAGAAAATCAAAAGAAGAGAAATCAGTCATTGCTTTTGATACAAAACAGTAACGTTATGGAAACATATTTCTTCATGCGATGAACTGAAAAAATGAAAATTTTCCATCCATTTATTAGTTCTTGTTCACCTCCATTTTGGGATGATTGGGGTGTGGGAGGCATATTAGTCAATCCACAAAATACAGAAATGGTCCGCTAATATTTTAAGAGGTGATTACTCAAAAATAATTCAAAGTAGTAATTTGGAAAGTATGGTCTTACTCTTTTCAACCACATAATCAAAAAGATCAAAGGATATCAAAGAACAAAAACAAAAGAATAAGCATAATGTCTGCCACATCATGCTGAACACTTTAACAATTTGAAGACCAATTTCGGCTCAGTAGAGTGTAGAACTAGAACAGGTAACCTGATGTTTCAAACAAGTATATATAATTTTATAAAATTGTAAGATAAACTTTCAAATTAGTATTAATGCCAACCAAATTGATGAGTTATAAAATAATTGTTTATCTTATTAATTAAATCGGTAAAAGCTTGATTTCAACATATACTATAGCTGACAATCTAATATAGATTGAATTGCATACACTCTATATATATATATATTTGTTGAAACAAACCTTTCTCTCCTCTCCTCCATTTATTGTTTCACACATGCAGCTTCAACTCCTCTGATTCTGTAATAAGAAAACATGTATTTGCGATACCAATTCAATACAGCAAGCAACTGATCACTATTTTTTCTATCTCTTTTTTCTAGAGGCTAGAAACATATAATTTCACTAATTTCCAAAATTGAGTGGGATACTTTGACCGCACTAAATTATGTGTGGCTTTCTCGTGCATTCCATTTGTCCACATTAAACTTTGTATGACATGAAAATACATAAAATAGACTATTATCCCCCCAAAGCGTCCAGGAACAAAATTATCTTAACATAATAACCAAAACTTTTATCCTCCTGATTTACAGTTTCTCTAAAAAAATATTAAATTTCTCCATTCAGAGTATTGTCATTGTTTGGGCCCCATTTTTTGGGAAAACGGATTTTGTAATAATGATTTTTTTATTTTTTATTTTGAGAATGTGTGATTAAAAAGTAGGAAAAAATTTTGAGTTTACGTGTGAATTTATTTTACTGGGAGAACGTGTGCTTGGAAATGAATTTGGGAAAAAAATGAGTTTTTCAAGAATGGGGTGGTGAAGTATATGAAAACTGCAAATATAAGAATGCAATATCAGATGCTTTAAGCGAGAAACTTTGCCAAACATGCAGTGCTATAGTCGAAATATATTATCAAATTAGAAAAAGAAAAAACTTAGAGCACTCACTTTATTTTGGATGGAGAAATTGATGAAATTAGTATCAATCAGAACTCGGTAAGGCAGCCCTAATGCAGTGTTGTGCTTAAAGTAAAGCGCAGACGAAACTTGAGGTCTGCATTAAAAGATTGCAACCACATTGATTTCATCATAAAGTACATAGACACAAGCACACATCAAAACTTTTAAATTAGAAATAGAAACGAGAATTATTTACACCTTTCTTGGAAGCTTTAGTTTGCTCAAGTCTTTCTTGATAGTGTTTAAAACCTCCTGTTTGTGTCTTGCATTAAATTAGAAATAGAAACGAGAATTATTTACACCTTTCTTGGAAGCTTTAGTTTGCTCAAGTCTTTCTTGATAGTGTTTAAAACCTCCTGTTTGTGTCTTGCATAAAAAATTAACACAATTCATAAATTAATTAAGTATAAATGTAAAATAATCAGATATATCCATAGAAATAGATATGGGCTTACTGTTTAAGTTCTCTGTGAGTAACTATTTTCTTCATGACAGAAAATTTAGGGGTTTTCTTTGCTTTTCCCATCTTTAAACAAATTTCTCCCTAAGCTAGTAAAAAGAAGGCACAGCGAATCTTTGAAATTTCTCTCTTAGACCGGTTTGAATGTGGAAAACAAAACCTCAAGCAAATCCAGAAATTTAGGATGCAGTGGCTGAAAATTATTCATTCAATCCATGAGAAATTACTAGGTCGATTTACCCTACGAAAAGAATGAAAACAAGTTCCTATTCCTCTTGGGAGGAGGTTGACCTTCCAGTAACAAATTCTTAAAACCATAAACAAACAAAAAACAATCCACCAATGATCCATTACTCCAACAATAATCCAAAAACAATTCATTAAGTGGACAAGAAGAACGATAATTCATTATTTGTAGACAAGGCAACAAGAATTCATTACTTTGTCGACAAGTCAACAAGAAGTGGTGAGATGAGGACATTGACTTACTGAAGGAAGCAAATTGCAGCTTCTTGGATGCACTGTCTAAAACGAAATGAAAGGCTGAGCAGCAAAGACACTATTACCGCAATATCAAGCTGCAATGATATAAACAATAAGATTAGAAAAGTTGTTGTTTAAATTTAGAGATAGATAATGTAACACACTAAGAAGTTCAAGACCGTGAAAATATAAAGAAAGATTTTCTTGATTGAAATAACCGTATATGAAATTTTTTACTTACAGGCCCAGCTGCTGGCAGCCTAGGTCCAAATTTTTAAGACTTTCTTGCTCTTAACAATAAGTTTATGGTAACAACAATCTTATCGTATGCAAAATTCTTAAAAATGTGTCATAGTAGTCGTAAAATTGTTAAGACCACTTCAAACATATAATAGCCTCAGAAGTTCCATATCATCTCCAAATTTCATTGTATGTCGTAAAATTAGTAATGATACAAAGAGAAAGTCTTCCTTCATCTCATTCACCTTTTAACACCTACATACCCTCTAAATCTTAGGACTCCCAGCTGGGAAACAAAACCTATCACTTACAGCGCACTCCGTTCCTTCAATCCCTTTCACCTTTTGTCCAAATACAAGGAAAATACTCAATTTAAACAGAAAAAGCAAAATGATACATTGATCAAAATGACTAATCCGTGATAAGAGTAATTCAACAGTAACCTACTCTCCTACTCATCCTTTTCTCAATGGGAAAACACCTCAGTATCCACAGTCAAACTGCTATGAAGCAACTCCATCATGTCCTGTGTACTTCTCAAGGACTAAAAGAATAACTTATATGTAGCCTGGAACTCTTGTTTATCTTTGGTAGACAGACTCGACAGAGAAGAATTATACAGATGCATAAATATGTTCAGATTGATAAATTTCTGAGAGGAAAACTTCACGAATCTTTCTCCCGCCAGCCTCAGAAACTGCTCAGTTGATAGTTTCTGCCTAGCTTCAGTACTTGCAAAACTTTCTCCATTGAATTTTTTGTATCTCCTTGGAGAATTACTGATGTGATCTAAGGAATCTGGAAAAAAAAAAGACGACTCCATGGACTCTCTGTTCTCAGTTGGAGGTAATAACCCAGTTTGGGCATTCTCAAGCGGTGGAATTTGTAGAGCTGATGAACATCCAAGTGATCCAACGTTTTGGTTGCGTTGTTGATTTTGTCTTTGCTGCAGCTCTTGAGCCTTTGACATGCACAGCAACTCAATGGAATTCTCATGTAAGAATTCATAGTTATTAAAGAAAGAATCAATATCTTCCCAGTATGCCGTATCTGTTAATCCATTGTGTTTCCCTTTATTTGTGATTGATATCCCAGAATATCTGACAGAATTACCACATCCTTCAATTTGTTTCAAATTGGAGGAGGCTAACTTATGGAAAGGATTAGCCATCTCAGAGCATAGACCAGTGTATTATTTACAATTATCCTTTATGGTTATAATAACCATGTATGTACGTAATTGTAAGCATCCTAGATGTATGCTTATATATATGACTAACTGTAAACATGATCAAACGCGGAAGTTTGGACTATTGAATTACCTCCAGCCATTGTTGACATGAAAACCTTTCGGAACCGAAAACGTAGCTGCTATTCTACGAGTTTGAGAGCTTCTAATGCCTCCTTCCAGCCTCTGAATGATGGTGTAATATAAACAAGTAGACGGAATGGCATTAGGGACCCAAACAATGTTTTTTTTATCAGCTCGGTCCATCACCGATTCTTTTCCGTAATTGTAGGCATTATGGACCATTCACAGCAACTTCCAAATTGGCCAAACTTATTATTGGACGTGCAAATCATTGATTAACGGAAGATTTAGGCCACACATGGTTTTCCTTAATTAGAAATGAAAGATTTCCTCATTCTCCCACTTGGCCTAATATATTCCATTATTTCCTATAGTAAGAAACAACTGTATGAATCATGGCTATAGTTTCTCTTAGAATGAGTATTATCTTCCATATATCACAATGTATTTTGTATCTTAATTTTAGTCCATAAAACTTAATGAATAAACATAAACCTACGTTTATTCTAGGTCCAAACTTGATTGATATTTCTCTAACAATGAATAAATGTGCATAAAACAAATATGAGAAATTATCATTACTGAATTAGAATTTCAGAAAATAACATTGTCACATACAATGAAATCAAACTAAAAGACCAAGTCCCATACGGTCTACTAGATCCTTGAACTTGAATAGTGGCATGTCTTTCGTCAAAGGATGAACAATCATCAATTCAGTATTTATGTGCTCAACGACGATTGTTTTGTCTTTAACACGTTCTCTTATGACTAAATATTTAATGTCGATATGCTTATTTCGACTACCACTTTTGTTGTTTTTAACCATAAAAATTGCAGCTGATTATCACAATATAACTTTAATGGCCTAGAAATAGAATCTACAATTCTAAGTCCAAAAATGAAATTCTTCATCCATACACCATGCGATGTAGCCTCAAAACATGAAACGAACTCAGCCTCCATAGTAGAAGTAGCAATCAAAGTCTACTTTGCACTTCTCCATGATACAGCTCCACCAGCAAACATGAAAATGTATCCAGATGTTGATTTTCTTGAATCAACACAGAAAGCAAAATCTGAATCAAAGTAGCTAATTACCTCCAAATTATCGATTCGTCTGTACATAAACATGTAATCCTCCATCCCCTGAAGGTACCTTAGAATTTTCTTTGCAGCTCTCCAATGGTCCATACCCAGATTATTCTGATATCTTCCCAACACTCCAATATCAAATGCAATATGAGGCCTTGTGCAAACCTGAGCATACATTAGGCTTCCAACAAC